GGAGTCCACGAAGGCGCGCACTTCATGAAGGGCATCTGTAAGCCTGGGACTCGGGACCCCGCGCGGCATGCGGGTGGGGAGGGCCTGGGAGGGCCTGGGAGGCCACCACACTCAGCAGAGGCGTGGCCAGCTCTGTCAGAGTCACTTTCTCCAGCGACCGAGCGTCTGGCCACGTCGCTCTGAGCCTAGGACAGCGCTTGAGCCTCCGGTCACCTTTTGGAAAACTTGTTGCAGGCATTTAAATTTACTTTCAATGCTCCAATGTGAACTTTTCTCACTTATGTTCGCTCCCCTCTAACCTCCACCCGGCCTCTAAGCTCTTTGGCCCAAGGGTCAGCAGTCAGGTAGTTGGGCTCCCTTCCCCGCCCTCCCCATCTACAAGCCCTCCTTCTCTCCCTGAAGGATCCGGGTTACCTGCCTCACTGATATATTAGCCAGGCATCACACAAAGGAAGCGCGTGTGGGCAGAAGGTAGCGTGACTCCAGGCGCAGGAGAGGAAACCTGCACCGTGCCCTGAGCTATCGCTTGGCTCACTGTGGCTGGAGCTGGTGAATTGGCCTCCACCCAGGAAAAGCGATGGAGGACCCAGCAGGAGTTTCCGCTCCTCCGCCGAGCGGCTACTGGGTGGGGCGTTTATAGCTGGGCAGTCGGAGGGAAGCTCAAATCTCCTGGGTGGGATCCAGAGCCAGGGTAATGTTGCAGAAAACCCCAGTCACCTGAATCAAGCAAGGAAAACCAGCTCCCCAGGAGAACAGCAATAGGTGGACACCTACTTCCTCCCTCGAGCATAATGGGCCCTTAAAATTAAACATTTAACGAAAACAAATCATCACAAAGCCCCTTTAGTCTTCTCATTAATTTTTTTTTTCTGTTTTAAAATAACAACTCCTTGGTGTAAGGGGGAAAAAAACTGACCCGAAAACATGATTAGACAAGCAAAGAAGTAAGATTTCATAGGAGAAGGGGCAAAGAAACTAGCAAAGTTTCCACTTTACTTCATTGTTCCCTATCCCTATTTCCATCCAATACTTGGGGGAATTTCCAGGTTGTAAGTTTCAAGGGGTGGGTGGAGAAGCCCCTGCTGTGTAATCCTCAAGAAGAGTGGAGGAAAATAGAAAGACAGCCTTATACTTAGAGCTGTAGGGCTGTCAAAGGCCAGGTTCTGAACTTGATTTCACCAGTGACTTGACCATACCCCACCTGGGTTCTGAAGTCCATGAGGACCCTTCCAGTTAAGCCCTTTCTTTCCCAGGTGTTCAGGGACAGTGTTCTGTACTTTAGGTTACGTAGGGTATAGAGGTCCCCCGACTATCTGGAGGTGGTGTCTAGAAGTCAGGGAAGGGGGCTTCAGGGAGGAGGGAAGATCACTCTCAATAGGACCTTTTCGGTCCTACTGGTGTAGTCACAGCCGTTCTAACTTGGAGGCATGAAGAAGTGAGCCAGAAAAGGAATGGTAGCAAGTGAGAAATTTGCCCTCCTTGGGTTTTAAGAAAATGTTTGTTAAAGATACATGCGTGCATTTAACAAGTTAAAATCGAAGTTCGTGGGTATTCTCTAGCCCCACAAAGCTGGTGAGAAGGAAGGCTGAGAAAAGGGGGAGGGAAGGTGAGGGCCCAAGTCCCAGCTGTGCAAAGTTCAGTGAACCAAGCTGGGCTGGAAGCTAAAAAGAGAAACACCAATGGAACCATTATGTCCCAAACCTAACTACTGGGAAAAAAGAAACCAGAAGATTTAAAGTCATCTGCTGTTAAATGTTACATAAAATGCATCAGAGGTGAAAAATGAAACTTGCATATGTGGCTACTTCAAAAAAAAATCTTCATCTTCCCAAATACATTGTTTCCAAACAGGAAAGTTGTAAAATCTTCCAGGTTATTTCAGTTTCTTATACATTCTTATCTTCCTGAGTAGCTATGGATGCTAACCATTCTTTCAATTTAGGAAATTTTCATTCTTGAATTCTGCATAATTTGATTATCTGTTTAGCTCAAGATATTTTAAAAATCATTCCCCCTTTGGCACATAATTATCTGGACATAATTAGGCATTCTTCTAATTGCATTTGGTTGCAAAACACATGTTACCAGAACTCAAGTAAACAATTAACATTTAATTGTTGAAGACAAAATGTTATTTTACAAATTTATTAAATATCAAATAATTTAAGCAATTGTATTTTTCAATGAGTTTTTTTCCTCATGACACATAGAGGTATCACATTAAAATACATTATAGCTAAATGTTCTACAATATTACTGCTAAATCAACAGAAAACCAATTGATCTGAGGAAAGGTTAATTAATTTGGGCTCCAGGTCTCCTACTTTGGTCCGCATTGAAAGGAATTTATATTGATCGTGGCAGCTTTTTGCCAAGAAATTTAATAAGCATTTTCATGGAACTGAGATCAATTTTTGAAATGCCAAAACAGAGTTTTAGAATTTTTTCACTCCAATGATCCTTTTCTGATATGGTTAATTCAACTCAGTTAAAGACTTTTGAGAAAAATAATATTTTACACGTTCAGCGAAATCAGTCACATATGTAGTCTTCTGAAAATGAACACGAAAGTTAGGAACTTTAATAGGATTTTGTTTTCATCTCATATTAATTCTCACCAGTTTATTCTGCTGTGTGGGGGGTTCACCAAGGGACAAGGGAAATTAAATTTTATCTTTGATTTCAATACTTTGTTAGCTATTTTGTAGAAAACGGACCGGGCTGCTTTCTGCTTGAGAACACTTCTGAGTTGTTTGGTTTCTGGTGAATCAAACTGGTGAGTTTTTCTTCTCCTCTATCTTTGTTTTTGTTTTAAATACATTAAAAATATCTCAGACCTGCCCCTCCGAAAGCAAGGTGAAAGTAACAATTGAAATTCCTCTCCCCTAGACAGTATGCACTCCCAAAATATTTGCCCCCCTTTTCGGGAAGTGTTTGCCCAGCGGCGTCGCCTGCGGGTCCGCGGGGCTCAGGAGCTTTACTCTCGGGTCGCTGGCAGGTTTTATCTGCTCGGCCCCCTTCTCCACCCCTCCCCCGCCCCTCCCCCGCCCCGGGGGAAATTCCTAAAAGGAAGGGTCCGGCGCACCCCCTTTTCGGCCCTGGTCCCCCGGCGCGTTCGAAGTCAAGATATTTGGGGACAGTGAGACTCAAGCGGGAGGGGCGGGCTGGGATCGCGCTCGGGAGGGTCCCTGTCCCCGCTCCGAGCCACAGATGTTTTCCTCCTGGCCCAGGGGCGCGGCGCCCCGGCTCCGGGCGCCCCAGCGTTTGTGTGTCGCGGCTTCCGAGGAAGGGATTACGCAGCGGGAGCGGCCGGCGAAGCAGGCCTTGGGGGCCGCAGGACGGTAACGAGGCGCCCGGCCCTCTTTGTTGACTTTTAGGTCTGCGGCTCAACAGAAGATTTATTCGCTAGGAGGGGAAAATGCCCAAACAATGAAGAACTAACTGCACTTGTCACCTCGAGATGCTTGCGGTTCTGCTCTTCCCGTTTTCCTCCCGGCAACCAGCTGCCCAGGCCTCCACCGCGACCGCGTGGTGACGCGCGCAGCGCCCAGAGGTGGCAGAGTGCGCGGCCCTAGAGTCGCGGGAGAAGCTCGCCAGGCCAGGACAGGAGGTTTCGGCCATCAACCCGGGGCTCCTGGCCACCCCTCACCGCAAACCCAGAAAAAAATCTCTGCCAAGTAAAAGAGCAAGAGATGAGGCCCATTTAAACCGGGTGGGCGGAGGCAGCACGTTGCCTCCGCGCTCCTAGGGCGCAGAGGAGGGGGATACCACGGACCGCACCGCTCAAAGCCGGCGCTCGCTAGTCCGCGAGGCCGAGGCCCAAGCTCATGCATTTGCACTGCATTTGGAATTCGAATTTGCCAATGTCTACCCGCTCTGGAGCTACGAATAATTATAGAGATTGAAAGCTTTTTCCTCTCTTGGGATTTCTAACGACTTTACGAGGCCTCCAGATTAAGTTTTGAATTTACTCAAACCAGTCGTTTCTCTTTCCTCCTCCTTTCAGTAGCTGAAGAGAGCAGAGATTTCTGGATTTTTCTCAAGTGCTACACGGCACTCCTTCGCTCATCTGGGGAGGCAATTACGCGATAATTAAGCGACTCGCACAGCTCCTTTTATCTTGTTCGCGGCGTGGAGTGGTGCGATCAAAGTAAAGGCTGTCCAAGTTCAAGCCCTGGTGAGGACGGAGTTCATACACAAGGGCTCAGGCAGGGCAGCCTCTGCTTGGGCTGGTGTTGTTATTGTCCATGTCAATCCGAACAGGACTTACAAAGAAATAGGTGGACTGGAAAGTGAGCCTACTATCAAAGGAGATTAATGATTTTGTGATCCGAAGCAATTGGGGGTGGGGGTGGGGGTGAAGTTGCGTTTCAAAGCTTCTTAGAAGGCAAACAAATCATCAGCTTTAAGTTTGCAGAACAATATTTTTAGAAAATATCTTCACAGAACTGCAGCTACCCTGAAATGTCCTGGGGGCACACAGCTTCCCTACAGGAGTGAATTAACTCCCTTCCCTTCACTCCCTCCATAGCTTCCATGATGGCTGAGTTTCCTTTCTCTTTCAACAAGAAGAGAGGGTTCAGGAGTCTGTGGTAGACAACTTAATCTTATCAGCCACAGCTGATATTTTATTCACTTGAATATTCAGATAAAGAAAAACTATTTTGGGGAAAGGAGATAAATAATATTTGGTTTCATCGTGGAAAAACTCAAAAGAAACACACAAGGCTTAAAGCCATGCCACAAAAATGAAGTAAACATTACAAGGAATAAAGAATTTTTTAAATTCTCAATTCTTGGCATATTAAATCAACTTATCCTTCCACTTTGAGTATTTTTCACTCCTTTTTATTAGCTATACATTCATTTAAATCATAGACAAAGCAATTTCGTTTTGGAGTACTTTCCTGTTTGTCATTATATCAAGTTCCATACTTTAGGAAATATTAAATTCAGAAGATCCATTTTGGATTTAATTAAGTGAAGGAAAATAACAGAAATCCTTTTTGTTAACATTTGATTTATTTAAAGTCCTTAACTGCAAATGATCAAGAACATATTTCACGGCTTAAAATCTGGTATTATTTTTGTTATCTAAATCAAAATATTTTAATTACAATCACATTGATAAAAATTAACATTTTAATTTGCAATATTAACCATGATTAAAGCAATTTTAGCTGTAAAGGAAAAGAATAAACCATGCAATAAATTAACATTGAGAAGGCAAAAAGGAATTATAATGAAACCCGTCTGTCTATGCTAACACCATGACCAGCTGTGGAAAGTGCATCAACACTGGGTGAAACAAGCACACGATAGCAATAATTAAAATGGCCACAATCAATAGGATTTTGGAATCTTGGACCAAATTTTGAGAAAGAACTCTATATCTCTCTGCTCCAACTAAGTGATATTCTTTTTTGTCTGGGGGGAAAATCCTTTAAACAGTATACATACACAAAAGCTAATTTTATACTTTATGTGACCTTAGAATGACATGACCATGGCACTCTGCAAAGCAAGGATCAGAGTTCTTGAGGAGGGCAATTCCCGAGAAGAGATTCCCAGGACCAAAAGTGGACAGAAAGGACAAGGGGGGGGGGGTGCTTGTAACTTCTTGGTCAGGCAACTCTTGAAAATGTAGCATGTGTATTACCTACCTATTACCTCTAACATTATGCAAATATATGGAGGATGTCTACATATCTGAGCATAATTAAGTCCATAGACAATATATGTGTGTTTCATTTGAAGACATCTGCTGAATGTATCAGAAATGTAAGATGAAAAACAAATGGCTCTGATGTTTGTGATGCACAACTGCAGCACTGCCTTTTGATACTTTGAAGAGCCCCCAGTGTCTACCTGTGTCGTCACTTTCTCAACTCTTATGGATAAGAGTATTGCCACAGACCTGGAAACTCGTGCGGTGGGGTCAGGTGAGAAGGAGGGGGGAAAAAGCACAAACAAATATTTTACAAACTTGACTTTCTTTCTCTCTCTCTTTCTTTCTTTCTTTCTTTCTTTCTTTCTTTCTTTCTTTCTTTCTTTCTTTCTTTCTTTCTTTCTTTCTTTCTTTCTTTCTTTCTTTCTTTCTTTTCTTTCTTTCCTTTAAATAAACCCTGCGCAGCCTAGAGTGGGTATGGAGGGGAAAGAGGGACAAAAGGGAAGAGGACAAGGAAGGAGTGAGATTATATATATATACACTTGTGGATTATTAAACTTCGCAGGAAAAAATTGGTGCGGGATTGGTTGTTTTGTAATAATATACACAACGAGTTTTGAATACAATAGTAAAGTAACAGTCCTTTGCACTGGGGAAAATTTGTGCATAAAAACAGTTGGGATTTTACTATGCTGTTGATGGTTTGGTATGAGTAGTTTTGCTTGCTGATTTTTTTTTTTCTTGCTCTCTCTTTCTCCTTCTACCAGCATGGTCATGAAGACAAACCCCCCAGTTCCAGGAGCTAGGAAGTGTTTAGGACGGGTCTGGAATACACACCTTGGTAGTAGGCCGGCTCCAGGGCTGAGGGCTCGATGGGGCTCCTGGTGGCCACTGAGGCGCTGCCCAGAGGCAAGCTGGCGGGCAAGGTGGCTCCGTAGGGCGAGTACTGCAAGGCCTGCTCATAAGCCTTGAAGTCCAGCTTGTGCTGCTGCTCTGAGGACGACATGAGGTTGTTGATGGAGAAGGGGTGGTTGAAGGAGTAGTGGGGGTCCCCTTTCAGGTGCATCTGGGACTCGTGGGGTGCCAGGCCGTGCGCCGGGTGAGAGGGGGGCACAGATGCCAGCGCCCCGGGCCCAGAGCTTATGGGGGGCGCAGTAGAAGAGGCTGAAGTCTTTAACTCCGAGGCGCCCCCTGTCGCCGTCGCCCCGCTATGGTCCAGAGTCTGGGGGCTGGCGGCGGGCCCGGGCCCGGGGGCCGGCGCGCCCTCTAGCTGGCTCGCCTTGGCGTGCACGGCCCGGTGAAGGGGCGACTCGGCGCTGGGGTTCCCGGTGCCAGAGGGGTCCTTGCGGCTTTCCGGGCCGCCCTTGGAGCCACCGCCCGCGCTCCCGCCCCCGCCGCCGGCCCCGGGCTGCTTCTCGCACTTAAAGCGCTTCTGACGGCGCAAGTAGCAACCGTTCTCGAACATGTTGCCGGAGTCCGGGTGCAGCGTCCAGTAGGAGCCCTTGCCCGGCTTGTCCGGGGAGCGCGCCACCTTGACGAAGCAGTCGTTGAAGGACAGCGAGTGGCGGATGGAGTTCTGCCAGCGCTGCTGGTTCTGCCGGTAGTAGGGGAAGAGGTCCATGATCCACTGGTAGATCTCGCTCAGAGTGAGCATCTTGCTGGGCGCCTGCTGGATGGCCATGGTGATGAGCGAGATGTAGGAGTAGGGCGGCTTGGCGTGCGGGTAGCTGCGCTTGAAAGTCTTGGCGTCGCCCCCGCCGCCCGCGCGGCTGCGGCCCAGGTTGGATGGCGCGTACGCCATGGGGCTCATGCAAGGGTTCATGGCCGCGTAGGGGCCCAGGCCGTTCATGGAGGCCGCGGGCTGCGCGCCCATGGCGCCCATGCCACCCGGGCTCAGCGCCGTCCCCATGGCCGTCACGCTCGCCGCCGTCATGCTGTTCATGGCGCCCGCGGAGCCTCCCGGCATGCCGGCCACCGGGCCGGGGCTCAGGCCAGCGCCCAGGCCCGGGTTGGCGTAGGACATGTTGAAGGAAGCCGGCGTCATGTTGCCGCTCGTGGTCATGGTGTTCATGGTCATGTAGGTGTTCATGGAGTTCATGGAGCCCAGGCCCGAGTTCATGTTGCTGACCGGGACGGAGGAGTAGGCCTGGATCGGGGACACCGAGGGAAGAGGCCCCGAAGGGCGGGGTTAGAGGTGGGCACAGGAGGGTGGCGGTCCCCTGCAACCCCGGACCAGCAGAGAACATTTCCGAAAAGCAAGGACCACGCTGTCCCGCATCCCTAGCCCTCCCAGGACAAGCTGTTAGGCGCCCTTCCCAGACCGAGCCAAGATGTCTTGCACGGCAGGGGGAAAATCCTAGCGCGGCAAGCATGAAAGACAAGCGCTCCCAGAAAAAAAGTTCCCCGGGAGGACGTGTAATCGCCTTACACGCCAAGCCGGGGCCGACTTTCAGAGCCCCTTTATCACCCCCTCTTCTCCACGCCAGGCAGTATCCCAAGTCTCCACTCCAGACCAGCCTAGGCTAAGAGCCCTTTGGGGCAAATCATGGTGAAAACTCCCCAAACAGAATTAATCTCTGACCCCTGGCTCATTCACGCTAAAGGGACAGTGGCTTCCTCTGAGCAACAGGGTACCAGCTCCATGCCCACCTTGCCTGAGGCAGGTAGGTCGCCGGAGGCCGGGAACTCTCCTTGATATAGCAAAAATCGGTGGCCGCTCGCCCCCACCCCCAGCCCTTCAGCATTCATTTCCCAACAACTGGCTTTATTGTCTCAGGAGATTTTACCAAAGATGACTTTTTGTCCTTTATTATATTTAGAAATAGTGTTTCTCACCTACTAGTAGCAACGGTAATATTAAAAAGGAAGTGAACTCAGAATATAACAAGTTTTGGAAAAAATGGATTAACAATGAGAGTGACTGGGAAGGGTACATAACAATATCAACGCACTAGATGACATTTAACTTCAGGTGACTTTACATGTACACCTCTGCAAAACCATTCAAAACCTTACATTAATTTTATTACCTATTTCCAGTTCCCTAATGTTTGAAAATTTTGACGACACAGTTTGTCTCAATAATCTTTTCCCTCCTGTACTGATAATGTTGCTGCTGATCATTCCAAAGCCTGGCCTTTTAACTTTACATGAATAGCTTCGAATAATTTAAAATTTCAAAAATCAAACTCGACTTACTTTCTCTTAATGCTATTCTACTTCCTAATTTTCGTTTAAAATGAGGAAGAAACCTCTTTCGATAGGGGTCTTAACTGCTGGGTCCAGAATTAAACCTCTGGAAGAGTCCTGGGCTCCTTTTAAAAATCTTCAGCAAGTGCAAACCTTTATCGATAGCAATTTGGGAATGCACTAGGTATTTTTAAAATGCAGAGCCCATAAATATTAAAACTACTTTTCTATTAATTCAATAAGAATGATGCCCTTAAATTTATATTCATCAGCGAGTATAATTCCATTAAAAAAATAAGAGGTGGACAAATAGATTCAAACAGGAAAGCTACGGTGTAAGCTATGGTGTGTAAACTCATAGATGGACTTGTGGATATACAAATTTACATAAATTAATCGCCATGGAAATATTTCCTGGTCCTGTACTTTTTTTTCTCTCCACTGCCTTCACGCGGTGGGGTTTATTTTACTTTGGAGTTTATTTTTCCCTCGTCTTCCTAGGATTATCCAAGGCTGTTTCAATAAGCGTTTGCAATAACTAAACTTTTATGGGGTAATCTTCAGCGGTTTCCAGGAAAATCATGGTGGTGGTCCTATTTATACCTAGTTTTCCTCGCAATCCTTTTGTGCACATTGTAAAATAAACCCCATGAACGTGCCACTAAGGGGACAATGAAGAGAAACAGGTTCTTGGCCCGGAGTTCTGGAAAAAGATTCTGTTCCCACCAGCGCCACCCAGTGGTTTCCGAGAAGAAGGAGCCCACTTCTCCCCAAACAGGGCTTTTGAAGAACAAGTTTTTATAAAATTTAGAAATCCTTTCATTATCAAGACGTCCAACTTCGCGGCGGAGCGCAGTTAACAGAGGACGAGTGCGAATGAAACGGCGGGACTCAGAGGCCGGCCCGCTGGCGAGCTCCGGCCTTTTCAGAGTTGCTTCCAACTCGTGCCACCGCCCGCCCGCCCGCCAACCCGCGGCACCTCCGGCTCCGGCTCCGGCTCCGGCTCCGCAGGGCAGGAGCGTGCTTTGCAAAGCCCAGTTTCCTAGAAGTCTCTGGTGCGAGCCCAAAGGCTCCCACCGGGCGGGCTCTGATGAGGCGCCCCCAGCCCAGCCCACCAGCCTCGCTCCCGCCCCGCGCTCTCCGCTCCCGGCCTCCTCGGACGCCGCTCCCGCTCCTCACCTCCTGAGTGTCCGCGTAGTAGCTGTTCCAGTCGCTGCTCTCATGCCCTTCCATCTTCACAGTCCCTAACATCCTGGAGCCACCCAGCCAGCTGCAACCATTCAGCCCGAGCGAGGCGACGGGCGGCCAGGGGCGCGGGACGGGGAGGGAGCCGGGCCGCTGCAGTCACCCGAGCGCCCGCGCCTGCCCAACGCCGCCGCGGCGAAGAGGAAGCCGGGCGCTGCGGGGCGCGGCGTGCACGGCGGCGGCGGCTGGGGCGCGGCGGGCGGGGGCAGCGCTGGGGACTGGCGGCGGCCGCGGAGCGCGGCGCCCGGGAGCGCCTCCGCGGGAAGTAAGCGCGCGGCCTCTGCTAAGCGAGTGCAGTCGAGCTGATGTGGATCTTACGTCGCTCGAGTGCCCACCTCCTCGTCCTCTCCCCATTTGTCCGCCGCACAAAGACGCTTGCACCTACAAAGCCCGAGGTGCACCTGCGAGGCAGCCGCCCGCCAGTCCGGCCGCCGCGCCTCCCGCCCCGCTGCGCCGCCGCCTCGCCTCCCTCGACCCCCTCCCGCCGAGCCCCCTCCCCCAGACCTGGCCCGCACTCTGTTTGCAAAGCAGTGTAATTGGTTTAAGCCCGGAGGCTAGGGAAACAGGGCGGGTGCGTGTGTGTGTGTGTGTGTGTGTGTGTGTGTAACCCCCCCTTTGGAAAAGGAAAAAGAGAAAATAGGCGGGGCAGGGCGGGCAGGCCGGGACTCTCGTTGGGAACCGTACAGCCGGAGACGGGCCGGGGCGGTGGCTTTGGAGCCCGGGCTCTGCAATCGTGCGTGCTCAGTGATCTCAGGCTCCCTCCCCAGAGGCACTGGCCACCCTCTGGACCCGGACTGCAGCCTCGTCCCGAGCCCCTCCTGCTCTTTTGCCTGCCCCCCCCCGCCCCCCAGGCTGACCCGAAGTTCAATCCTGGGAAACAGGAGAACACAGACTCTCCCCCCACTCCGCCCGGGCTTTAGGCTAGAAAGGGGAAAAAGCCCTAGTTTTTGCCTCGTCACTAGAAACCCGGTCATCTGAGTCAGCCCAGCCGAGTGACGTTAGGCCGACCCGGGCTCCTGGCTAGCAGAGCGGAGGCGCTGCCACGAAACTCGTACCTGCGGCTAAGAGCAGGTGAGTCACAACACCATTTTATATCTTTATGACATAACTTTTTTTTCCGCCTCAGTCCACTCCACTCCCCTTTGTCATTTGCAGCGATCATAAAGAGGAAGGAACTGAGAGCAGATGTCTGTGTGATAGGGCAGGCGGATCCAAGTCGGGCTGTCCTCCCTCTGCCCGGCTCCTCCTCCCATCCTCCCACCCCGTCAGCAGGCCCGGGACTGAGCTGGAAGCGACCCTCTGGTTTCTGATAGGGAAAGGTCAGGGGGAGGGAACATCTCCGCAAACGCGGTATAGAGTTAGCTGGGAGAGCAAGGGTCGGGTCGCGGGAACGTAGGCGTCGCTGAAGAAGTGCCAGGCCCGAGCCAATTGTGCCTGGTCCGGTCTCTGACCTGGGAGGGCTGGGCTAGGACTCAGGCTCTTGCTTGGTTCCTAACCAGTTCTGAAGTTTCTGGGAAATTCTCCTCCATGCAAAGCCTCTTGGCTCCTAGGAGGCCCTAGGTAGTAGGTTGCTCACACATCTGGGGAGAGAGAACAACTAGAGAGTGAATGATAGGCACTGGAGTTGGTGACAGGTTGGGATATGGTGCATGTGTGTTCCTGAACATGTGGTCCGACTGAGTGTGTTTCTGAGTCTGTGACTGACCATGCGACGGTTGTACTCACCCGTGGAATCACCAAGTCTCCTTAAGTGGCAATAAAAGAAAAGCTAAAGTGACTAAGACCCTGCAACATATTCTTGCTTTCCAAAGTTTAAAATGCAATTAATCTCATTTTAAGAAATGTGTTTTAACTTGTCTTCCAAATAGATACCTTGTTTTTCCCCCTGTGCTTTGTTCTTTTAAATCTTTCTTCCTTGAAATCTGGCAAGAGAATCACGTTAAATCCTTGAACCAAACAAATCTCTTAAATCAGCAGGGGAGCAGAGAGGGTGAAGATGTGTGGTTAAGGAAATAAAAAAAGATAAAAGCAGTAGATTACAATTCTTTTTTGAACAAAAAAGGACAGGGGGACATCACTTTGTAAGGAAAGGAATGAGTGAAATTAAACCCAGGAGGAACTCAGCAAGAGCCCTCCTCAACTGCTCCTGTGACTACACTGGATCCCATCACAGTGTAAATGTACCTGAGAATGTGTCAGCAGCTGATTCTCTTGTGCAACGTTCCCATCAGCAGCGGGACCTCAGTCCCAGTGTAAAGTACACGGATACTTCGCTTCCTCAGTCTGGCCGGGACTTTCAGTGCTAACTTCCTTGTTCCTTCCCGCGAGTGTATCTCCAACGCCCTCTTGGCTCTCCTACAACGTCGAGCCCGCTATGGTGTTTTCTATGGCTAGTAACAACTTCGTAATAGCTTTTATAGTGCACAAAAAGTCAGCTTTAAGGGAAAAAAAAACCCGCTGTCACCTTGAAGGGGGTCAATTAAAATATCCAATAATTTTTTCTCTCAGCCCATTTTTCCCAACCTACTTGGACTCTTTTTAAAATTCTGACGGTGCAGAATGGGCTTTACCAGTTTCAGAGCCTTGATCAGCTCTGGAGTTCCTGGGTTCACGGCCCGAGGGGCTCCCGCGAACACAGCGCCTCCTGTCGTAGAGAAGAAACGCTGGATTTTCCCTCAGGTGCCCAGGCGAGCACAGTAGGCGAGACTGGACTGAATACCACACACGTCCCGCGGCCAGAGCTTTTGGTTCTTAGGGTTGCCTGAGGCCACAAAGGACAGGTGGTTAGCTTCTAGTCTCAGTCCATCTCAGTAGTGGAATTCCTAGGCATCTAGAATTCGGGAGGTGAGGTTTTAGTAACAAATGCCAACCAGTTTCCTCCGGAGGTTTCAAAGTAAATCCGCAGGGTGTTTGCCTAGGGAACCGCATGCGTGCATACATAAATTAGTGTCGCTTTTTCAGGGTTGCTGGCCAGTTAGCAGCCAGTTAGCAGCTGCCTGACCCTGCTCTTTTACAACCTTTTTCCCCCAAAATGACCTTACGTTCGCTACTGCAAAGCTACTTTTCAAAGATTGTGCGGCTCTCTCAGGGGAATTAAGTCTGTCTTCACCTCCGGGGAGGCTGGGTGGACTCAGGACCGGGAGTCAGGAAAGTAGCCACGCGGGGCATCCGGAGCCAGACTCGCCCGGGTGCGGACGGGTCTGCGGTAGCCGGAATTAGCCTAGGTAGCGGGGAGGGCGGGCTCCTCCCGTGGAGCGAGCCAGGGCGATCCGACAGTGGGGTGCGCGGGACTCCAGGGTCTAGGAGCCCAGGAAACGGCTCCTCCGTTCCCGGAAGCAGCTCTTGGAGCAGTCCGGCTGTAGGAGGGGCGGCTCAAAGTCCGGTGCCTCAGTTTACCCTTCCCAGCGTGACCTGTCTAGGAGCCCTTTTCCACGGATATCCACGAGGCAAGGAGAAGCAGCGTGCACGACCAAGACAGGCAGAAGGAAAAGCCACAGGCTTCCGTCTCGGGCCCAGCTGGTGGCCTTTGGGGGCTCCGGAGCCCAGTTTAACTCGACGGCAGGGTGGGCAGGAGTCAGGCCTGGGGTTCAGGCTCTGCCGTGGCCCCGAGGTCCTCGAGGGCTTCCCTCTCCGCCTCTCCCCTTTCCCCCCAGCCGACCTTCCCCTTGGGGGCTGAGATCGCTTCCAGGCCTGGGTGGGCCCAGTCTAGCTCGGGGCGGGTGGTCCAGCTCCTCGCGGTCCCCACCCCCTACCCAGATAAGAAGCTTAAATCTTGCTCCTGCAGGACAGAATCAGACGCGAGGAAAGTAAGACCTGTGGTCTTTAACTCCGTGCAAAGCCGATCCCGACTGGGACCTGGCTGGGCTCAGGAGTGAGGACGGACGCACGCTTTGAGCTTCTGCCTGCGCCTCAGCCTCCGAGTCCTGGACTAGCCCCTGCTGGTGCGCCAGGCAGGAGAAGGGGCCGCGTTCGCGGGGCCCATGCTGTCCGCCTTCTGCTCCCTCCCTGCGGCTCTCAGGTCCCGCTCCCCTCGTGCTTTCCTAGCTCCCCCCTGCCCACCAGTAAATCCTTCGTGCAGGAATTCATTCTCAGCACACATCGTCCAACTCCCCGGGGCAGGGCCCTGTGGCCGGCTGACCGGCCTGTCTGAATCCTCTACTCCTCTGGCTGTTTCCTTGGCCGTGTGTGTGTGTGTGTGTGTGTGTGTGTGTGACACATATCACATACACACACCCAGGGCTTTTGTTTATTTTATTTTACAAAAACAATCATTGGATTTGCCGCTTCTCCTGCTCTGGGAGTCGCCGCCGGTTTTCTGCAAACCCCAGCCGGGGACCTGGCTCGCCCACAGCCGGATGTCGGAGCCGGAGCTGCTTCCCACCTGGCCCTGCCCGCAGGCGACAAAACCGTCCCTATGGCCGTGTTCGAGCTTGCCGTGCCAAAATCAACTCACATTTTCATGTATTCAAATGAGACACGTTGGGAAGGGCCACTTGGCCTCTTGGGCAATCAATAGTCTTGGAAGGAAAAACGAAGTGTCCAACCGTCCAACATGTCCCCTCCCTCCCTTGAGGCCCCGTAGCGGATTCGGCGCCCCGAGCCCAGCCCTGGGTCCCAGGGGCGGTCATGCGTCGCTGGGCGGTGTCCCCCAGTTACCGACTGCTTCATGCTCACCGGTTGGCCCTGGCCAGCTCCCCATCCGCAGAAGCACAGTCGCATCCGCGGTGCCCACGCTGTCCCCTGGCTTTCCCAGTACTTCAAAACTGCTTGGGTTAGGAACTGGAAATGCATGCTTCTCGGCGAGTTGAAAAATTCGGGAGACATAAAACCACTCAGGCCAGAGTTAGGACAGAAAGAGACAGGAGCTCTTGGGGTCCTACTGTGTGGCCTAGACTGGGCAGGCGCTTGGAAATCGCTGAGTTTCCCCCCCTGCTGCTCAGGTGTGTGCAGGGTGCGAGGCAAGAAGCCCAGGCCAGGGTAGGTCAGGACCTCAACTCCTTCCCAAGGCAGAAGCCCGGCTACTAGAGAGCAGTGATGGGAGCCCAGGGCTTGGAAAAAGTCCAGTTCCCCTCTTGCTTCCTTCCAGCGCCCCAGCTTAAACCTAAATCCTTCCTGACCCACAGAGGAGTGTTTAGCTTCCTCCTCCCCAACACCCCCTCCAATCCATCGCAGCCCCCTTTCTCCCTCCCCACACCAGGAGCTTCCCAGGGTCCCTCAGTCACCCCTAGAGACTGAACTTTGGCTAACCAAATATGATTACCCTCGAATTTACATAGTTCTACTTAACGGATGCTTTTGTGACAATCAGTCATATAGATCATATCCTACACTGGGAAAAAATAAACCATAAAAATGCATTCTAGTCAGTTTTTTTAATTGTGTTAGCCTCTGATCCCCCCGCCCCCAGTTTTGAAATTGTGTTCTGTACTAATACAATGACTAATTCACTGACAGGACAGGAGGGAGGTCACGGTCATTGTTTGAAATTAAAATTTGATTGAAGGGGCACTGTTTGGGTGGCTGCTATGAGGACTTTCAACAGCTCTTTCAGAGTAAACATTAGGACAAAGTTTTGCTCTAAAAGTGGTGCATTTGTAATTTTTAAACTTTCTTTGTCTTAGGAGCCACAGGGCAAAATTAGTGCTCAGCTCACTTTTTAGTGAGTTTGCTTCTAAGAGAAACACTATGAAGCGGCGTCTTTGGCAGTATTTGCTTTGCTGGGATGCTAGGGAGATTTGCAGAAACTCTGGCTGCTTTCTGAATGCTCTGGTTTTGGTTGCTTATTGTACGTGGATCAAAGTAAGGAAACAGGGCCATCACTGGACATTATCTGTACTGCAAGAACAGAGCAGCCCCTGGGGTTCCTGGTGAGAATTTGCAGACCTTCCCTACCAACCGAACCAGGCCTCCTTAGGTCTACTTTCTGCTCTAGATACTCTGTGGGTTTCTTATCCTTGCCCAACAACAAACTGTCCTTTTTCCCCCCTCCCTGGCCACTGCTGGGATTCCTGCCTTAAAGCACAGCCCGGAGCAAAGTAGACTTTCAATAAAGATTTGTTGAATCCATCAAC